ACTTAAATTTTCAATCAAAGTTAGGTATATCAAGTTATCAACGTCTTGAATCAGATTCTATGGTTCTAACTCTTATTTTGCTTAAAGTTTGTCAACTTATTCCTTAGAGAATTATGTTAACAATTCATATAATGATTGCTTTAGTAAAAGGATATTTTTCAGCATTGAATTGATAAAATCTTACCTAAAATTAATTAATTTTTTTTAAAAAAGTACTCAAATAAATCATCTATTAAAAAGTTGAAGTAATAATGTGCATCTAAACAATTAGAAACATAATTTTTAAATAAATATGTATGATTTTTTTTAGGCCTCAAATAAAATTTCGCTTTAGGCCTCCAGTTACGTTGAGCCGCCCCTGATGCTACTAGTGTTTAGTCATATTATTTTGATCAAAAGAGACGAGGAGGTTGAAGAATCATCCTCAGAAAGATCTCTCATGTGAGTTCTTTTCCTTTCAAAATTTATCAAAACTTTTTTGGAAGTTTAAATCAAGACGGAATTTAGTGGTCAATGAAGTCTGTTGAGAATTGTGAAGCTAATTTCTTCTCGCATGTCTAAGTTTTGATAAATAGGTTATGTGATGTGAGCAAGTTGGCCTACACAAATCTATTTGATAAAATTTAGCACATATTATTTAGGCTTTTAACCTTTTCGTTTCAAACCTGGAAATAATTTGAGTGTTGAAAATGAATGATTTTCTAACAGACTGATTCTGATCAAGTTTCTACAACTTGAACCTCTCTTGTCTATTGTTCTAGTCCTTGTTTGCTTTTTCATTGATTTGTTAATGATGGTGGTGAAAATGATGTTGACTCTCTTTTAGCAGAAACGGGGAAGGAAATAACCATAACAGATATGCAGGACAATATCTCACAATGCCAAGAAATTTTATCGTTATTTTTGCCACTGGATGAAGTGACCATTGCTAGGATAGTTGGTGTGATTGTCCGTACACAATCAGGTGACAAGAGTGTACACTCAAAATTACTTGCTGATCCTTGTGGCAACAATACATGGGATCTATCACAAATGACTGAATGGGATGCCGACACTCTTATTTATGCAACAAAGCAACTCGTGAGTTCCATTACCTTGTACATTTATTTCTTGATGATAACAAAGAATTTTACCAACTCTGCTGCTGCAGGCTCCTGAATTGAACTGGATAACTATTATGGAAAACCTAGATCACGAGGGTTTCTATATTCCCAACGAAGCAGCTTTTTACTTTTTGATGTCTGTTTATAAACATGCCAGCCAGGTACCTCTTCTCACTTCTTTCTCCTGACCATATTGTTTCTCTCTTCTTTCTATATCCGACTGGAAACATTTCTAGTTTCGAAACTGGGGAATAAGCAAATTATCTGGAATTGCTAGACACACACTTGTTTACATTCCCCTGTTTGTAGGTTTTGATATTTTAATATCTTATTTTTTTTCCATTTGTATTACTTAACTTTTTATTGCTTCTTGAATTTACTTTTTAATACATGGACCAATGTATATTGGTACCATCATTTTCAAAAATTTGACCAAACATATCTTTGTTTATTATGCTGGAACTTAGGGTCACTTTCCTCTCAGAGCTATTTGTGGCTCTATCTGGAAGAATGCTGAGGGTCAGATTTCCTTACTTAAATATGCTGTCTCAGCTCCTCCGGAAGTATTTACCTTTGCACATTCTGGGAGGCAACTGGTAGGCCGTCTGATGCTTTTAATATTAACTATGCATATGAACATCATATCATTTTTGTTGGTCTTAGAGTCAGTTTTGCAGGCCTATGTTGATGTTGTGAATGACCATAAGGTTCAAATTGAACATGCAAATCATGCGTGGTTGTGTCTTGACCTTCTGGAAGTTCTTTGCCAGCTGGCTGAGAGAGACCATGCAAGTTCTGTGAGATCCATACTCGAGCACCCTCTGAAGTACTGCCCTGAAGTCTTGCTTCTTGGGATGGCCCACATTAATGTACTGGGTTTTGACATGGATTAAAATTCTTTCCTGTTGTTTTTCTACCGTTATTACTAAAATGTCTTTGAATGATTTTCAGACTGCATCTAATCTTCTCCAGCAAGAAGTTTCCTCTGCTGTTATCCCAATATTACTGCAAAATGCTGATGCAAGTGGTATGATTGTTCATCTGTGGCATGTTAATCCCAACATATTGTTGCGGGGTCTTGTAGATGCGATGAGCACTGACCCAAAAAACATGAGCAGATTTTTGGCTGCCTGTCAAGAGATAAAGGTTGGGTAACTTATGAGATTTGAGTATACTTTTCCTCTTACACTATACTATAACCATACTGTTAACATGTGTTATGGGAGAGACGAGTTCTCTGTGTACCTCCAGTCGCGAACATTCCATAGTTGGTAACAGTCATAGTTTGATGAGAAAAATTCTACTATGTCAAGTGTTGAGCTGTTTTAACTTCTACGCATCATGGTAGTTGCTGTAAAATGTATAGTTGTTTTGTTTCACAGTTAACTGTTGCATTTCAATTGTTCTAGAGTGACCCTAGTATGTCAAGTGTGAAAGTCAAATGATGTTTGCAGGATTACTGTCAGAGGCAATAAGTAACCTAAAGAATTCTGTTTGCTTACTTTTCAAGGCTTTATTTGGAGAGTAATTATTCACTGATTATTAAAATACACTCATTTATCCATGTACATATTTCCTTTTTTTGATATACCTAAACCATCTCCATTCCTCCAGTTTGTAAACAAGTGTAACTCCTCTTTCCTTTCAGATTCTATCACCAATACTAGATATGATTCCATATCCATTTGGTGTTAGACTTGCTGCCCTTGCTTCCTGCAAAGGACTCATAGATTTGGAGAAATGGTTGAGCAGTAACTTGAACGCATATAAAGATGCATTCTATGAGGTATGTTTTATCCACTATGTATAAATTAGACATATTTGGTTTACATTGTTGCTGTTCTCCAGACCTAGTCTGCCTTGTCGTTTTTCTTAAATTGGAGAAAATATTTGCTTGCTATATCCCCGCATTCAACCATTGTGCCAAACTTCACATATATTTTGTAGGAATGCATTAAGTTCTTGAAGGAGGTGCATCTTGCTGCTCAAGTTGCTACTTCCAACCACTTCTGTTCTCCCAATGCTCTTAGGACTATTTATTTGGAAACTTCTTCAACGTTCTTAAAGGTCCCATTTTGACACTTGAGATTGATTAGTTCTAGCAGCATACACTTCAATTTGATTTTGCTTACTTATGGATCTATTCCCTGCAGGTCCTCCAGTCTCATTCTGGCCTAGTTTCTTCACCCCACTTATCTGTGGAAATGGATAAGTTGCACGTAACATACATGGGAACTAATTCACGGTTTAAGAGTTCTGGTTCTGCTGATTTGTCATCATCTGATTATTATTCTGAAGATATTGAAGCAGAAGCAAACTTGTACTTCCATCAACTTTTCTCTGGTCAGGTAACTAATGATACAATGATTCGAATGCTTGCTCATTTGAAAGAATCGACTGAAAAGAGGTTAATTGCTTACAAAAATCCATTTCAATGATCTTTTAATTTTACAATGGTTGCACAGATGCAAATCGTGCATTCCTTTTCTTTTTGCACTTCGTTGATTCTTACAATTACTTCTTCTCTGGTATTGTGCTCACTTATCCCAAAAAAATCATGCAGCAGTTGGATATATACTTCGTTATTCCTTACCAGAAGTAGTATTAGTTATATTCCAGCAAAAAAACTTACACCTAGGGGGGGCTAAGCCTGACCGCAGAATATAATATTTGACTGGTTAACCAAGCCAAGTCAATGCGCGAAAAAGAGTAGTACTAATTACAGGGGATCCTATTCTAAGAAAAACCATTTTAGCTAACTAAATAATTAGCTTTATCTTATAGAATTCACAGATTAGGTAGTTGACTCTTATCCAATTGATAGGATCCCTTGGCTCTTTTGGCAATGTTTGGAAGGAGTCAAAGTGCCTACCAATATCTTATTTGGAAGCATACTTAGTGTCACGACCCGAGACTACCCCTAGTTGCGAAACGGTGCTTAGAGCCACAAGTGACCCTAAGCTAACATCATGGTTTATCTGTCATGACACTAAGATAAACATGAAATAGTATCTTAAAACAACTGGATGCGGAAGCTAACTAAAATAGTCCATTATACTCAATTGTAAGGTGGATATTTAAATTTTTGTTTTTAGCCGAATCTTGGCACCCGTATCCATACATGGATCCGTATCTCCGAATCTTAAAATTTAGATCATAGAGGATCTGACCTCTAGATCCGCACCCATATCAATCACTCGCACCCGAGTCCGAACAACTTAGGGAATAACTGTATGCTTGGTCATGCAATAACTGAAAGACTGAACTATGGGAGATACTGAAATCGACATATAACTATGTGAACTACTACATGGAGTTTGATGTATAATTCCCCTATCAAAATGGCCCAATATACTTTGCTAAAGGTATAAAGGCTGATTTGAGCTAATGTGGATCCACTAAGTTAATGTCCTTAAAAGACTAAGGAGTCGGCCTCAACTAGTGAAAAAACCCCTTAAACCCTACGGTGGCACGTAGTTGTGGAACTTAGGGATTGCTACTAAATGAATCATGCCTCAATAACGGGTGAGTCTTCATCCGTAAAACTCCCAATGAAAAACATGGAAATAATTGAAGACAATAATATTCTGGTAATACTAACTTATATTGATAATAATTGAGTAGCTCATGAATCATGATAAAACCGATAATATCTGAAAGACACTTTATCTTAAGGCATAATACATAAATATGCTCTTTAAATTGACTTAATTTCACATTTATGCCCTCCAACTTTGGGTGTGCATAAGTGAACACTTAAATTTGTATAAAGTTGAACAAATAGATACACACGTCCTATGTGGCATCCTACATGGCAATTTACATCTTATGTGGTGTCCTACGTGTATTATGTCACCTAGGACGCATGTGTCTACTTGTTCAACTTTATACAAGTTTAAGTGTCTACTTGTGCACACCAAAATTGGAGGACATAAATGTGAAATGAGACAAAGTTAAAGGGTATATTTATATATTATGCCTAAACTAGAAGTATCTAAAATCATGAAACCTGATAATCTGAAAGATGCATTTGGAAGTACATAATTCTGAGTCATGAAAATACTTATATACTGGCTCGAATGGAAGCCTTGACTTGAATTTCTTGAATGTAAACTTGAAGCTTGGAACCCTAGTTCTTGCTTGAGAGTAATGATTCTGAATTTGGAAGTTATGCGTGAAAGGTCATATGTGAATCTGCTTTCAAAATATAAGGATGAATATATCTTTGTAACCATGATTCGAAGATAAAGCTAAGATATCATATTTGTGAAGTCATGATGATAATGAAGGTGTATGGAATTAATAGTAGCTTTACTGGAGAGTTTCTTACAATCGACAAACACCATTTGAGCTGATAATGTTCAACTTGGGTGGGCTTCCCTATACCTTTTCAGGGTATATAACCTATTTGTCTAATAAGGATCCACTAATTGAGCCTCAAAGGGCTAAAAGAGTTGACCGTCAAAACGGCATACTCAAATCCTACGGTGACACGTAGTTATGGGATTTGGATTTTCTAAACCGGCGTCCTCTCGGTGCAAAGCAATTCTCCCAAAATAATACTTATATGATATGCTCATAATTTGGTAAACTATGTGTCCGTCTAAATAAAGTATGAGACAAAACTCAAATCTTTCTTTCTAAAGTCATATACTGAAATCTCTTTTAAAACATATCTTTCAAATTATGTTCATAGCTTAAATCATGAGAAAATTTCTAGAACATGTATATCTTGTGACTTCTCAAAATAACTTTCATAATACCATAAAGACTCTAAATTCATGCTTTGAAATTTAAGTATCATGAATCATAAACAATAACACGTCAAGAACTAATAAGGGTCATAAATATGATGAATTCAAAAGTGGGTTTGATAACCCTAACTATTGAATCAAGTTCATAAAAAAAACTTATGAGTTTTGGACATGAAGATGAAAGGAATTCCTCGTTGAAGTACTACATACCTTAGTGAAGGAACTTGACAAAGAACCTTGGAACTTGGAGCCCTTAAATCTTGTGAAAGTGGAGAAATCCCTTTCTTGAAGTTCTTGGGTTTCGGAAGAAGGAGAATTAAGGATTGTGGAAGTTACAATGCGTATTTGGAGGTTATTAGGCTATGATATGGGTTTAGGGAAGTTAATTAAGGGTAAAATGTCAACAATACTCCTCTGGAAACATAAGAAGACCATAAAAATTGAAGAAAATGACCTTTTAATGAATTCCGTCGGCCAAATTGGTGATCTAAAGGCCCCATCGCCAAATTATTCGGTGGATCGCCAAAATGGGACTTTGGATCGCAAAATTAACAGTTTTTGAAGGATTTTGGGTCAATTCCGCAATACAACAACCGATTCACCGAATGGACAAGTGTCATTGCTGAATTTCCCAGTCTAGACAAGTTCCAGTAAAACAACCATAACTTTCTACTCTGAATTTTGATTGATGCAAACTTGGTGACATTGGAAAGAAATCATAAATCTTTAATTTATTTGATAGCTTATGGGTCACCTAACTCTTTATTTGTTGAGAGATATGATCGTTTGAAGTTGACCCTTGTATGAACTCATGCGGAAACTTAGCCGATAGGAAAGTATGAACTTGACTTAATGCTATAGAGGTCTCCTATGACCCTAAACAACATATGATATACTTCCTACACTTGGTAAGGACCTTAACACACATGAACAAGTAGGACATCACCTGGTCTAAGCTTATATATTTATGACAAATGGTTCGGATCCTTAGAGTAGAACTTGCGAGGTGTTACATAATCTGGGGGAGAAGTTTGTGAATCTTGTTTTTTGATCTGGTAGTCTACAATTTGCCTGATTCCACCTGGACTGGCCACTACCCCCAAAGAGCTAGCAAAATGTTTCCAGGCAGCCTGAACAGATTCACCTTCCACAATCACATGCAATATTGTCTGATACTGGGGGTTATGCAGCCAGTGGCGGAGCTAGGATTTACATTGAGGAGTGTCAAAATACAAAGTAGTAAGTACACATAAAAATCGACAGAATAAATTTTACTAATGAAAGCAAAAAATAATTACATTATCACAATCGTACTCGACGCGATTGTGATACAATTTCTCACTGAGAAAATTTCTCTCCAGTAAAGTTTAGTACCTTTGACTTAATCAAATCTACGTCTGCAAATGTTCTCTACTTTGAATGCATGTTCTCGTCTGAAACTTAAATGTTTGCAGAAGAAAAGTAAGATGTTTTTCATAGTTTAGTTGTCTATGTTATTGTTAAGAAGTGATGAAATGAGTTCTACTTCCACTATTTTGGTCTATTGTGATGAGTCACTAAAATTTCTTCCTTGGGTGATATTTGAAACTTTCAGGGAACAAGCAATTTTCCGCTGCATGATCGTTAAGCTGTTAACTGAATCTTTTGCCAAGTACCCTGTGAGGCAACTCCAAATGTCTGCTGTACTCTTTGGTCAGACCTTCAGATACTAAACCTTGAACTGCTCTCCTTCTTTTTACTCTTAAACTGTATTCAAATTTATACGTAACTCTTAGGTGTTTAGCATATTCTTTGTTAATTTGAAGAATCCTGACCAGGTAAGTAGGTTAATAAATTCATTCTGATTTTCACTTACAAATATTGTTAATAATTTCATGAAAAATGTTTCTATTCAGTACCACCATTGAAATTACACTTACGTTCTAGAATGCTATGTTATTAAGACCGGACAATGATAATCTACTTGCGACCTATATTAACAGTTGTTAAAGTAATGCCCAAGTGCCGGGAGGACTTTGAATGATATCTTCTAGATGGACCGGAAGGACTCTAGTTGTACCTAAGAAAGTTGATCTTTTTACCCTTGAGATTACTTAACTAGAGTTTCGTAAAAACAACTAGATCAACATTACGACCTAAAATGGAAATCCACAACCTTAGTTTCGTATTCTTATTGATAACAACTAAGTTTTTAGTTACTAAGCAATACTACAATTAAATCTCTTAAGTTTTAATTTCAACCATTGTTTTAGAAACAAAGACTATTTGTTATGGTTATGCCTATGAGTAATATTCTCAGTGGGATTCGACCCCAACTTTGGTGGATTCTATAATTGAACAACGATTGCTTTATACTTCATTGAGAGGTGTAATTTGAGTTTATCATGAACCTCCGTGAGTTGGGGACCTTCACTATAATGAAGCGCTAGCAGCGAGCCAGAACCTGACGCCCATTTTCTGATTTTTACGAACTCTTACCCCATGGAGACTTATGCAGGGGTACTATGGTCTTAACCATCCATAACGACAAGACAGATCATTACAATATATTACTTATATGTGCAAGATATTATTCCCTTCAAATGCAATTAGTCCCAATGCTACTCTTAGTCAACTAAGAGACGGGGAATGTTGGGGTAAACTTATTAGAAATACCAATATTACTGAAGTGCCTTGGAAATTGATTTGAAAAATCAAAACACCCACAAAACTAGCCTGCTTCAATTGGTTGGCTATCATGGGCCATGTCTAATTCAAGAGAACCTAAGGGAAAGCGGTACAGGAGTCTGCTCTAGGTGTTACATATGTTTGGCAGGGAATGAGAATAGTAATCATCTATTTTTGCATTGTCCTGTAACAAAAAATGTTTGGGATATTTTCTTTGCTTATTTGGAATGCAATGGTGTTGCCTGGTAGTATCTTAGAGAAGCCCTCGTTAGCTGGGGTGTAATTGAGAATTGGGAAAATCCATCAGAAAAAACTTGGCAGTATCGATAGTTCCACTTTGTGTCACATGGGCTATGGAGTATCTGGAAGTAGAGAAGTTCTGAAGGAATCTCAACTCCACTTTGTTTCTTGCTTTTTCAAGCTCCTTGAGTTTTTTAGACAGGAGTTGCAGTTGTACAGGAGCTAGCTATTTTTGTAATTCAACTGCATTCTCTAGATGCGTTGTTGAATGAAATCTACTTTCATTTGATTAAAAAAGAGCAAACAACATAAATCACACTAGTTTTGGTCCTAATGACGTGCACTCACATCAGTTTAGGGAATTACCTTCCGTATCACTTTTATCTGGCACACTCAGATACATGTATCTCAAATACATACGAGTCAAATTTGATTTAATTTGTTTTAGATTCACTATATTCATCGTGATTAGCATATCTAGGATACACTAACTCTCTTGCTTCTCTGCGTCTCTCACTTGCCTCTCTCCTTATGTATCTGTATTTCTGAATGTATATGAATTTCACAATTTTGATGTATATGTGTATCCAGTACTAATTTGATGCATCTAGCAAGTTTCATCACTATATCTGGTATCAAATATTTATTGTATCCGTGCATAGACACATGTATTTGGTATCAAATATTTAGTCTATCCGTGTATAGATACATGTATCAAGTATCAAAAAATGCACTGATACATTCATCAATGTATCCGTGCATAGAGAGCGAGAAGAAAAATGAGAGCGAGCGAAAAGGAGAGAGTGGTGTATCTGACTTGAAATCTAGATGAAATTATTAATTAGTGAGACAATATGTAATTATTTCAAATTATAGAACGGATTAGTATATATAATAGGCATGTTTGTGTAATTAGGTAGTTTCTCCTAAAAAAAAGTGCATGATATTGCTCTTCCATTGAAAAGGGCCCAGAATGATGACAACTTTAAACTTTTCATTTCTTACCTTAAGAATTAATACGTAAATAAATGTACAACACACTCTTGATCCCAGATTTAAGGCCAACTTCTCCTATTTTTTATTTTTTGTATTGTTTTTAAAAAAAAAAACACAAGTAGACTTTAATGTTAAAAGTTTATTATTCACTAGTTGGAGATTAATTATTTTTAGAACTATGCACATTAATTAGCGTGCATGAATTCTAGTTTGAATTACTTCACCCCTTTAACTACTTTTTGCTTCCTTTAAGCTATGATTCTTTTTACAGTTGACATTTACTTTGCAGGATCACTTATTAAGAATCATCTCATAACTGATCATACGCTTGGGATTGCTTTGCTAGCCGTCTTGGATGCATTGCACGAGTGTCTTTTTTCAAATGTTTGCTCTCAGTAATAATAACATGTTAATTTATCATAGACATTACGTTAGCTTCCGTTAACTAATGGCTTCTTTACTTGCAGATGTTCGTTTTTGGTATTGGGGCACTGGCACAATTTGTTGACCGTCTGACTGAATGGCCTTATTACGGCAGCCTTATCGTGAAAATATGGCTTCCGCATGAAATGCATTCAGATTTGGTTGTGCTCATTGAGCAGGCTCTTGCCAGGACTTCACAGGCACATGCAGGCCATTGTCCTGCTGTAGACGAAGTACATAAAGCAGAAGCAAGCTTGTATTTCAATCAGTTGTTCTCTGGTCAGCTGACTAATGATGAAATGATTGGAATGCTAGCTCTCTTTAAAGAATCAACTGATAACAGGTCAATTTTATGGAATCTATGTTGATAATCTTTTTTTCTTTTTTCTGAAAACTTACACAAGGCAGATCATGTGTTACTTTCCTTTTTCAGCATTTTGCTTTTATGTTTTAAACAAACCTTGTGGCAGTTTGACTAAATATATTTCCATTCTTCTCCATTTGTTTGTTTTCTTCTTTTCGATTTGCTTTTGTGTTGGTTGTGGGTGAGGTTTTGCAAATTTACTGTAATTTCTAAGCAATTTGAAGCTTTATAACTGCTTGCTGTATCGCTGAGTTAAGAAGGCATTCCTTTTTTACTATGAGAAATTCACGGTAGACCTTAGTTGATATGATCAAAGCTAAACATGAGAATATTCCTGCCCTAAATGCACGTTCTTATCTCACACTTGATATTTGCAGAAGATATTTTTGGTGTTTCATGTTGGTGTTCAGAAAAGAAAAGGGCATGAATTACCGCTGCTTCACTGTTTTGTTTTATCTTGATGTTCTATCACCTTTAGTTCAATTCTTAAGTGATAAGAACTTGCAGGGAACGAGCAATTTTTAGTTGCATGATTGTTTTGCTGTTCCGTGAATTCAAACTGTTCGCCCATTTCTCAAAGAGGCTACTCAAAATTTATGCTGTTTTTTTAGGTAAGGGTTTCAGATGTTAATTTTCCTACTATTTTTCTTTTAGTGTGTATTGAAATTTGTCCATAATTGACTTTGAGGGGTTTAGCATACTTCCTTAATAATCTTAAGTCTCCTAGCTTTAAGTTCTACTTTTATTCTATTTTGTGTATGAAATTATCTTTTAAAAAATCATATCCGAAATTATTACTAATTATTGAAAAAACGGCAGAAACCTGCACGTGCCATGAATTCCAGTGTAAATTACTTTGCCCCATTAACTATTTTTGGCTTCCTACTTGAGCTATAGTTCTTATTATTGTTGAAAATTGCCTTTACAGGGTCTCTTATCAAGAATCAACTTCTAACTAATCATACTCTTGATATTGCTTTGCAAAATGTCTTGGATTCATTGCGTGAGCCTGCTGATTCAAAGGTTTGCATTGGCCATAACATGCTTTTCTTAAGGAACATCACTTTGTAATTACTGTCACAACGTAATTATAATAGGATTTCAGTATCATGTTTGATTATACAAGTTGTAATTGGATATATTGTTTGATTATTTTTTAAATAATATAAATCTTCATTCTAAATTATTTTTTTCATTAGCTGAACAGGTAAATAAGCTCTAGTGGGTGACAAATGTATGTGAATCTAAGAAATATTATTAGCTGTATCACTAGGTATTTGAAAAATACATTTTTCTGTTAGATAAATTCAATAATTATTATAGGATGACTAATATTGTAAAGATTATACCTTATCCAAAAGATAGTATTGTAATTTGAATCAATTAATACGAGATCTTATTACTAATTAAAATTTTGACTAAGATGGATCTAAGATGTGAAGTTTCTTTTCCCAACAAATATTTATACTAATGAGCAGGATTAGGGGCATTAAAGTAGGAGTAGGTTTGAGGAAAAGTTTGTATTGGAAAAATAAATATTGTTTAGAAAATGTGATTGCCAGCTTGTTTCAGTCCTTAAGTTACAATCAATTCCACATTTAACCAACTAATTAATTACTTAGGCACAAAAACAAGTAGTTATGCTAGAATTCAGTTCTCATGTGGCTTTCTAAAAACTTAGCATTACTGATGGCTTCTCTATATGCAGATGTTTTATTTAGGTATTAGGGTGTTGGTGCAGTTTGTTGACCGTGTGATTGAATGGCCACAATACTGCAATCGGATCGTGCAAATATCTCATGTACGTTCAAGTCATCCAGAGCTTGTTGCATTTGTTGAGCGTGGACTTTCAAGAGTTTCACAGGCACATGGAAGTCAGAGTTCTGCTGATGATGGTTATTATGCTAATGATATTGAAGCAGAAGCAACCTTGCACTTCCAGCAAATGTTCTCTGGTCAGCTGACTAGTGATGCAGTGATTCAAATGCTTGCTCAATTCAAAGGATCAACAGATAATAGGTCACTTTGTTTACCAGAATTTCATGTCTATGATCTTTTATTTTCTCAAGGCATGCTCACTCATGTGTTCTTTTTCATTTACACTTCTTTGGTTCTTACAACTTCTCATATGGCATTGTGCTCTTTAAGCAGCTTACAGATTATGCAGCAGTTTGACTAATTATACTTTCAATAATTCTCTTCTTGGTTGTGCCATTATTGTTTACAGTAAAGAACAATATATGCTCACTCGATTTTTATTAATTGCTGTGTACAAACAGGAAATTTGGACATTTTTCTCACTTTTAGAGTTTCACTCTATGTAAGCTTTAGTCTGATTTAATCAACTCTAAACTTGTGTATATTTACTTTATATGCACACTATTTTCTCAAGCTTAGCTTTGCAGAAAACAAGGACGATGCTATTCGTGCTGGTTTGAAAAAAATGGCATGAATCAATTCTGCTGCACTGTTTTGGTATATCGTGATAATTCATTAAAATCTATTTGTTAAATTAGGCCTTACTCCTTTTTGCAATCAGAACCTTTATATTTTTCGGTTGAGGTAGCAGCTAGAATCCCTATCTCTTTGATAACATGTTGAATTATGTGAATGCTTCATGTAAAAGAAGTTTAAACTATTAGAATGAGCAAAGTTTCTTTATTTAAATTTGGCCTTCACCAAGCTTGTTGATTGATTTTGAAATGATATTTGAAACTTGCAGGCAACAAGCACTTTTCCAGTGCATGATTGTTAAGCTTTGTAGAGAATACAAAATTTATGCCATGTACCCAGAAAAGCAACTGAAAATTGCTGCTGCTTTCTTAGGTAAGATTTTGCAGATTCAATGTTTCAAGTGATTATCTCCTTAGGTTTGTCTTTGATCATATTAAAGTTAGTCCTTGACTTCGATTGTGTTCAGCATATTTCCTTTCTTGGCCTTTACTATTATGTTTGTATACGCTATAATCTGTTTCGACTGTTCTTATTATATTCTAAGTAAATAACTTTTTAAACATGTTGTTTGCATTTATGTTCCTTTGGGTGGTTGTCTTCCCTATTTAGTCCAAATTTCCACCTCAAACTTCAGTAACATGTGATAAATATGTCGCGCTCTCAAGTATCCTACTTCGAAGGCCAATTTCCTTAGTTTAGAACATCAATTGTCTTTAAACTCTTTAAGGTTTTATATATGTAAAACTTAAAGACTGATCTGTTTTAGAAGTAAATATGTGGGACATGGGTTATGGTTTAAATTCCTTGGTCAGCCATTTAACTATTTTTTGTGCTTCTTAAGTGAGTTAATTTCTTATTGCATTGAATTTGGTTTTGCAGAGTCACTTACTAAGAATAAGCTCATAACTCATCCTACGGTTTGGAAAATTTGTAATCAAGCTTTGCGAGCTGTCTTGGATGAATTGCATGAGGTTGGTTGCTGCTGATTCAAAAGTTTGTTTTCTGCGATAACACACTTTTTTACTTTTTGAACTTACTGTTTAGCTTCACATTACTGATGGCTTCTCTTCATGCACCAGATGTCTGTCCCTGGGACTGTTAAGTTTGATCGAAGGACCTAAGGTGGACTCGAAGGATATATGTTTGAACCACTGACTTCAATATACTATGAATTTCGTATCTTGTGAATAGTTTAATTTGCTAGAATTCTTAAGTGGTGCATTTAGAATTTTGGCATCAACTTCTGATGGTTATTGAAATGAAATAGAATTCATCTCTTTGCTCTTTTTGGAAAATCAAGAGCTTAAATTATCTATCATCTTTCCTCTCTGAATACTTGCAAATCATTTGGTCATAATTTCTTATGTGTTGTGTGAGCGTGTTCATAGCCTCTTAAGAAATTATTTGCGTTTGACTAATTTTTTTTCACTAGTTCATTATCTTGAATGATTATAGTGAATTTACTGTGTCCTTACTATAAATGTAATTCAGATAGGTAAGATACAATTTTTATATATTACATACAAATATCATTTTTCCCTCGATCTTCTCCAAATTCATAATATTACCAATTCAAAAATTCATTCAAACATCCAAGGCCAAAAGCCGGATAGGTGCTTTCTATTATATCTCCATCATATTGATTATACTTCATCCATCTCAAAGGTGATTCCTAAAACACTCAAGTTATTGACGATCCATTAAAATTATTTGTATAATTTACTTAGATACTTCAATTGAGTCTTGTACCTATTAGACACTCTCAAATACTTAACATACATAGTTCATAAAAAAACGTGTGTAGCTCACTAGTGAAAAACGAATAAAAATTTGGCAATTGGCATTGGAATGTGTGTTACCGTGTTTAATAGGTACATATATGTCAATAGTGAGGTGTGTAATAGGCATAAGGGTGAGTTGAAGTATTTAAGTGAATTTTTTGGACAATTTTAAAACACAATGACTTAGGCCTTTCTAAAAATAATTATATTTATCGGTTTAGATTTTTAGAACTAAATTAATTATTTTGCCCATTTTTTTTCCAGATATGTTCATTACACTTGAGTGATGAAAGTGCATCTTTCCAAAAGTTATGAGATCACCGGGCTATAATAATTCTATTATGAGAAATATTTGTAGACAATAAAATTTGAGTCAAGAAAATAATAAGTAAGACTGAAAAATAATGCAACAATTATATTTATTGATTTCGAATATGAGTGTTACAATCTCTATTATTTTAGATATAAATGTACGGGTTCTTGAGCTTGATCTTGAAGTTGTTCTTGAACTTGATCTTGGATTCAAGTAAGGGTGGCAATTGGGCGAGTTAGATTAAATTTGGGCGGATCAAAATGGGTCAAGACCTAATCCAATCCAAATTTGTTTGGGTAAAAATAAGTTGGATCAAAACGGGTTAGGTAACAGGTTAGTAACGGGTCATAATCCAACCCACCCAATTTTTACTAAGTTTTAATAGCTTTATTTGTTATTTTATAAGCTTTTAGTACCTAATAAATTTATTTTTTTCTTTATTGTAACGGTATATAACATATAAAATTAAAAATAATAATAATAATATTTTGATAAGATTTCTCAAAAATCAATTTGGGCTACATATCAACCCAATTTTTAAAGGGTTGAAATGGGTTGGGTTGAGCTAACAAATGGGCGGGTCAATAACCAACCCCAACCTAAATGGGTTGGATCGGATTGGACGGGTTGAACTTGATTTTGCCACCTCTAGATTCAACGGCTTTGGAGCTTGTTCTTGAATCTTCGATGAACTTGAACTTTATTTTGATCTTGATCTTGACTTTTACTTGAATTCAAGTGCTTCGAGGTTGCTCTTGAATCCGGTGGTATTGATCTTGATCGTTCTTGAACTTGAACTTTATCTTGATCTTGACTTTTACTTGAATTCAAGGGTCTCGAGCTTGTTCATGAATCCGGTGGTCCTGATCTTGATCGCTCTTGAACTTGAACTTTATCTTGATCCTAAATTTTACTTGAATTCAAGGACTTCGTGCTTGTTCTTGAATCTGAGGGTCTTGGTCTTGACCTTGATCGTTTTTGAATTTGTAGCTGGTAGAGAAATATGTGACTTTTTGTTCCACGAGCTCTCTCTAACTTCTTGTTAGAATTCTGGTATCTTTTCTTAATTATGAGGACTCCTATTTATAGTTTGTGAATAAAGAAGTTGTGATAGGAACATGTTTCCCTTCGGCCAATCGAAATCTGCGGGATTCACAATGTGATTAGAGCCTCTATAGGAACATGTTTTCCTTCGGCCAATCAGATTTTATTTTGAATTCACAAAATCACATTGTGAATCAAATGCATAATCAATAAGAATAATGTTTTAATTTATTTTTTTAAAAATAATTTCTTTTTATGGATATAGTAATATTTTAGTCTTTAACTTTTAACTAATACTAATAGTTTATTTAATTTATGTTAAGGTGAAATATTTTGTCCATGAGAAGTGCCATGTGACAAGATTTTTTTTAAATAAAAGAGAGTGTATCACACACACCACTAATGTATGTTTCTCAAATTAATGAGTAATAGTTTATGTATGAAACCCATACTCCCAATAGTTTAGATATCAAACTCAAAAAGAAAAAGAGATAGCTTAGATGTATTTTTGACACTTGCCTCATTTAAATTTAAATTTATAAACTTTCTCCACTAATATCTGCATAACTCTAAGGGGTCGTTTAGTGTGATGGATAAGCAAGAATAATCTTGGGATAAGTTTTTAGTACTCTTCAATTCTTTGTTTGGTTGCAAAGTATGAAATAGTTTATCCCAGGATTAATAATTATGACTGGGATAAGTTATTTCTATTTATGGGTGGAATACTAATTCCTTGATGACTTATCCCGAGATAAAAATGTAAAATAATAAAAGTATCCCCTTAAATCCTCTTTTATACCTCACTTTTAAATACATGTATATTCAAATAATATTTAATATCATTTATAATAACACTCGCAATCTTCATTATTCGTTATTTTTATGATTATATATTTTTCCATTAAAAAATTACACTATATAAATATAATTTTATTTATGAATATATCGTAGGTTGAATTAAGTTGAATAATTCTTATGTTTTTTTTTTCTCTTAAAATATTCAATTACATATTTTAAATTAAATGAATTTTTAATCACTTGAAAATTTGTATTTTATATATCAATTAAAATGAAGATAATTTTAATATTTTATAATATATGAGTGATATGTACTTAAATGAAGTGACATCAACAATAAAATCTCTTTTACTTTAATAAACTTAATTAAGATGAACGTTTTATTTTTAAGTTAAATAAGATGGTTGTTTTATATTTAAAAACACACACACATAGGGATGGCAATGCGGCGCGGATGCGGGGTGGGGAGGGTTTAAGGCTATATGGCGCGGGGCGGGTTTAAGGTTGTGTGTGGCGGGTCAGATGCGGGCGGGTTGAAGTGAGTTTTTAAAAAAATTAATGTGGGGCGGGGCGGGGCGGAATGTTTGACAAGATAGCAGTGTAATAATACCCAAGTCTAAACTTTTCCTTTCAATTTGAACCAAGAGAATACAAACTAAATCAAGCACTATGAATTAAAATGGACAACAATTATATCAGCTAAACAAAAATAACAAGATAAGAATGAACCAATCACACAAGACACAAAGATTTACATGAAAAACCCTTCGATGTGAAGAGTAAAAAATCACGGGATCAAAAACTATACTATAATCTCCAAGAGTTACAATATTTTTCTCCAAAATTGGTCACAAAACAAGTGCCAAACGACGAGCAATAATGAAACAAGATTGCACCAAAAACTAGAGAATTAAAGGAGAGAATTCACCAAAAAATAAGCTATTGTTCACGCCAAAAATTCAGAAGCTACAGACAACCAAATTCGATCTCCACCGTTGAAATGCAAGAACCAGATGCTTAGTAGAGATAGCAATGGGGTAGGGCAGATGTGAGGCGGGGAGGGGCGATTTTAAGGTTGTGCGGGGTAGGTGGGATGCGGGGTGAGTTGAAGTGGTTTTTAAAAAACTAATGTTGGGCGGAGCGGTTTGCGGGTCTATGCGATTTTATGCAGGTTCAAGCTTAATTTTAACTTTTTACATGTTATAAGAGTGATATAACATTATTTATTAAGATAATTTCATTAAAGCTACTAAAATATTCAAGATAATAAATGAAAATGGTTCAATAAAAAATAATACAATTTCTTACATGTTCCCAATTGACCTCTAAAAAATAAAATTTTAAGTCACTATCCTATTAAATTAATACAACTTAATGAATAAATAAATTTATTTTTATGAATTTTATTTTTACTATCAAACATAACTAGAAAAAAAATATTAAAAAATTATGCGGGGCGGGTTGAAAATGAAAAGAGTTATTATGCGGGACGGATTAAAAATTTTACGGGTTAAGCTTAACCCGCACCGCCCCGCCCTACACCGCCCCCATTGCCATCCCTACACGCACAAAAATATTACGTTAAATAATATTTTCGTAGAAAAATACTCTAAACCAAACGGTCCTTAGGGTTTAAGGTATTGTTTGTTGATAGAAGAAGGAAGAAAATCACAGAGCAGCCACCGTCGCCAACATGTCGAAGAAAAACGATTTGGGTCGCCGGAAAAAACAGCACGAGTTCAATCTTCGGAGTATAATTCTTTCCCTTGAATGTTATGTGTTACTACAATCTCGATGTGATACTAATTTTTGATTGATGGTGAGATTACAGGGGAAAAAGAAGAGAAAGAAAAACTAGCGAAGAAGTTACAAGCAAAAAAGAACAAGATGAAGGTATTTTCCCTCTTTAATGGCTGATTATGTGATAAATTCTCTGTTGTATTTACTAATTTAATTTAACAAGTAAAGTTATGATCTTTACTGGGTAATCTTTGATTGTTCAATAGTGATTTGGATGATTTTGTGGTTTAGGTGGATGGTAAGGACAAGAAGAAAGGTGGTAATGGATTTCAAGTTGGGAAGAAAAAATTGAAGACAAGGATGACTCCATTGGCCAAAGCTAAAGCTGCACAAGCAATGGAGATTGAAAAATAAGATTTTGCTGTAATTTATTCAGGTGTATTTGGTAACTGAAATTGAAGCTGTTTACGTCTTTCTTCTGCAATTTGCGAAAAAGACTTGATATTTGTTCATGTTTCATGTTGCTATCTATATTCTTTGTTGTGTTCTTATGCTTTTAACCTTTTTCTCTGCATTGTTTTGGGTCTTGGCATCACCATGTTTAACTGAGTTTGAGTAGTTCAACATGGAGACAACAATGGAGATTTGGAGTTCATA